TCTTTGGCCATTTTAGTCAAAGTAAACAAATGGTATCTTGTTGCAAACTGATTAAACTTTTCTGCAGCAACTGGAGAGTTTTCCTAAAACCGTCTTGAATGTTATGGAGGAATGATATGATAAGCAATGCTGTTGCCTGGGGGAGTGTTCTTTTTTTGTTGTTTATTTGATGTCTTTGCCCTCAATGGAACTTTAACACTGTTTCATGCTCTAGTACATGAGTCTTCAAGATCTGTTGGTTGTTTTTTTTGCATTAAGAACTTTCTCAAACTTTTATTCACCTTTAGCAGAAAAGGTCTGATTTTTAAACCATAGAAAAATTATTCCATTGTATGTCTGTAGATACTATAACCTCCTATTCAGTAATAGCCATAAGACAGCAATAGTACTTGTATATTTCAAAGCTACCTGTGAAATATTTTTTCTGACAGCAGTATAATTGATGCTTTGATGCATGATGCATGATTATCATTCTGGTCTAAGAATCACTGGCAATTTAGTTAATAACTGTCTCTTTACAAAAGAAAAAAGTGGTATAACTGGAGTGCGACGGTTAGCCTGTAGTTAGCAGGTTTCTTTAATCAAAACTTGGGTGCATGGATGTTTTCTGTGACTTTCATAGTTATAATCCACAGTGAAGTAAGTGGCATTAATTTTTCATAAAGTCACACATCACTGCGTCCTTTTGCCCCTTCCTGTGCTGAGATGTATTCCTTCAGTAGTTTTTGGGCTGTTACAAAGTGGAGAGGTTTCTTGCTTATTATGAGAATTTAATTCGTAATATTGAAACTGCTAGACTGAATGACATGTTTAATAAAATTTGAGACCTCTTATTTGGCCTTTTTATGTAAACAACGTGGGAAGCTAATAAAGCTATTAAAAGCTTCAATTTATTTTATTTATAGAAACCCTTCTAAAGAATATTTTCTGGGAAGAAAGAATGCAGTGAGGAGAAGGCATAGGAAAATGCACAGCCTAAAGCTCTGGTAGTATTTAAAATTGGTGCCTTTGCTAATCTAATATGAGTTCACCACAGATCCCAAGGGAGCTTGATGCAGGATTCCAAAGAAATTTATTAACATCCAAAGCGTGTTTTTTATAATAAAAGTCAGGGGTTTTTCTTAATGAAAAAAACCCATGTGCTTTTTTTTATATTTGAAGAGGGGAAAGAAAACGCACAATGGCTCACTTAGCATTCTGTTTAATGATTTTGTATGCATTCACTTTGGTCTAAGCCCGCATTTGCTTTGTTCATGAACTTGAGCATTGAGCAGGATTTTTGTTTTTGTGAAAATGCACAATTAGCTCTAAGTGTTTAATAATTTTTATTTAATAATTTTTATTTAATAGTGTCATTATTTAATTAAGTAATTTATTTCAATTTCTTCAGTTTTAATATTAATTATAAATGTTACATAGAGATAATTGTTAATGTTATTACTAATTTTTCTATGAAATACCTAGTGCCCTCTGGTAATTAAATAACTTGACTGCATTATTGAATGCTGCTCTGGTAATGCTAGCTTCCTTCACAGAAAAATCTGGCCTGGTCTGCTTCTCTTACAAAGTTACAGATACAGAAACTACAGAAGTTAGACCGATCTACAGGAAGAAATGACACAGTTTTGCAAGCATTTTGCAAGCGCATGAGTAGACTGAGCCATTAAAAACATTTAAAGGAGAATGCCAATAAGGCATAAGGCAGGCTGGAGTGAGAGTAGTTTACTTAACCACTTGTTGGCCAGTCAGTCAGGAATACACCAGGCAACAATGAATTTGAACTAACTTCTAGGAACAAGTGTGTTAAAACCCCTGTAGCCTTGTAACTTTTCTTCCTGAACCTTTGGGAACACTGTGAAGTGGAATGTGAGAGTACTTGGTGTTCTGCTCACTTGGAGAGCTCTTCCTCTGAGAGGATCTCAGAGAGGATATGATGACTAGGATTTGGTTTTTGATTCTTGCTTGTTCCAGAACTTTAGATTTTTATAGTTTAGGTAGAATGGTGCCAATATGCCAATCCAAGCAAGTAAAAATATATAGTGTAACAACAATGAAATAGCGTGGGATCCCTTTCAGCATTTAAAATTGCTGTAATTATATTTAAACAATTCTTGTGGGATTTGTTATTTGTCTTGCCTGTGTGACACACAAGAAGTCAAAAGCACCCAGCAGCATAATGATTAAATAACTTTTTTAATACTTTTTTTTTGATGGAATCTATGTTGTATTAGAATTAAATTTACTTGACCTTTGAACAGAATATAACAACACAGCGAATTGGCTGTCTTGCTTTATCTAAATTATGTCAGCAGATGGCAATTTATTCAATATCTTTGCAGCAAGAAAGCTTATTTAACTTAGTAGTTTCATTTCTACACTTTGCATTTCATGCATATTTAAAAATAGGAAAAATATTTAATATTTCACTATGCTATCTAATTTGTTGACAGTATTTCCAAACATTAATAGAAGAAACCTGCATTTTGTGGCCATTATAGATCCTTAAATAGTCAGATTTGCTGATATAGTTAGACTATCAATACCTCTACGGCATAGGTGGCTTATCTTGATGTATGCATGAGAACAGGAAACTGAGGGCATAATTCCTGAAACCCTAGCTAGCTTCTACTGCTTTGGTTATTTTAGGAACCAGAACTTGTCATTAAATAATATGAAAAATAGCAGAACAGTGTTGAAACTTGGGGCTAAAATTATAGGTCACTATTCTACCCCAGGACTATTCTTGTTAAAGTTCAGTATTTCTCCACTGGAAGGGCATCTACTAAATTCACCTAATTGCTTATAAAAAAGTCATCATTTCCTAAACTTAAGATGCTGACAAACCTGTGTCTTGGTGAGTATTTCTGTGGTCCTCATCTACTTAATTCTTAGAAATTATTTTGGTCTGTAGTAAATATGGTAAACTAACAACTAACAATGGCTTAATTTCTTCCTTTTGACAGTGTTTGTGGTCTGTTACAAACTTTTTTCCCCTGAAAGATCAACATTTTGAGAAAGTTCTGGTGGCATTTCCTAGACAATTCCTAATTCCAATTAAAGTTTTCAGTTTGAGAACCAAAAGTAATATTCCGCCCCCTTAAAAGTGTGTGCATTGATGTTATGTGGGCTGTCAGAGATGTGTACATATGTAGAACTCTTAGTCTGAGTTGTGTTATTCTTTGTTTTTAAACAGGAGATCCTGAGAAGGAGCTTAATCCCAAGAAGAAGATTTGGGAGCAAATCCAACCCGATCTTCATACCAATGACCAGTGTGTTGCTACATACAAAGGAGTTCCATTTGAAGTGAAAGGGAAAGGAGTCTGCAGGGCAGAGACCATGGCAAACAGTGGAATTAAATAAATAAATGGTTTTTAGAAACTTTTTCAGTTGTTGAAATGGAAAGTGATGCAAGCACAATAAAAAAACATGAAGTGCATGGCTGAGACCCTTTTTGTTTGTCTCCTTTTCCAGAGATCTAGAATGTGTTATTCCTCCAACATTTTGACCATTGACTTATTTACCATGTTTACTGTCCTTGAGGTTATGTGTTATCAACAGGTATTAACCACTCAGTGCTCATAACTTAATTGCCAAGGCTTGTTCGTGGTAGGACTACAGACAGACAAGTATATTTTCTGGACAGCTTAAGGGTGCAGAGGATCTATGGAGCAAGAGCATCTCATTAAGGAAAAATTTCTGCCATGTTCCTTGTGTGCTAATTGCAGTACTAGCAGTAAGTTAGTGAAGACCACAATTGTCCCTATTTTTCTAGTCACCTTGTAATAGTTTTTCTCCTTTTCTTCCAAGCAGTTTTCATATGCATTATAAGCCTTTGCACCTTCATTCTTGCCTGTGTTATCTCCATAGTCTGCAGACGCTTGTAACAGGAAGATTAAACCATGGTGCTTCATGCCCTAAAATTTGCAAGTGGACATACTTTCATGTCCCTCAACTAAACTGTTACAATTTCATTAAGATCAAAGCTGCCATTTTGCTAAAATAGTTCTTTATCAAGTCCACCTGAGTATTTAATCCCAAATGATAGGTGGAATTAAGAAATAATGAATCACAAATAGTTTGCTGGAACTAGTCCAATACTAAAAAAAAAAAAAAATCCATTTCCAGTGCCCAAACAGGTATAAAATTAATTGATTTTTTTGTTTTGTTTTGTTTTAGTGCGGTTTTTATGCAATGATACTTTATACAAAAGATGCTTTGGTTTTAACAGAAAGAGCTTCTTCAGTTTTTACAATTAGAATTATTCTGTAGTAATGTTGTACAAATAGTCATGTTGCTAGGGTAATAGCCTCAAATTACTTCTTTTGATTCCTGACTTTTAAAAATATGAAAATAAACATTTTGGGTCAATTTACAATAACCCTTTTAAGTAGCTATTTAGAGATACTTCAGATATTTTGGCATATAATATTTAATCAAACAGTTACTGTCTAACCATTGAAGTAGTAAGTGCTATTTTAACTACTGAAATAAAAAAATATTAACCTCTCTAAATTTTTCAGGGTTTGAACTTCATCCAATAAATGGAGAGAAAACAAAATAACAGTGATATAAAATTAAAAGGAACATGTGTAAAAGAGAAGATGAACAGATTTCCTTTTCAAATGAGTTTTGTATGTGCCTGTTCGTTTTTCATGCATCTGGGAATAAGCAATAGTAATTAGTTCTTTTAAATGTGCTGAATAGCATTAAGCACATGGAAGCCATTTTATCTGCCTTGTAAACTACATATCCAATAATGGCTTATTAAACAAAATCCTTGAAGTTCAAAAACTCGGTTATAACTAATCTTGAATCATGGTAAGGAAATACTTTTACGGTAGATAAATCTTAGCTTTTCATACCAGAGAGCTCTTTATAGAGATAGAAGTTCAGAGGAAATTCTGGAATTCAGAGGAACTCTTGAAAGCTTGAAGAATTGAGCAAAAGAGGTTCCCTTACAGTCTGAACTCATGTTCATCTTGTAGTTTTGTTTTGTTTTGTTTTTTTCATCTTCCAGATGTATATTCTATTTGAACTGGAATATACAGTCTCATGTAGTGCAAAATCTCATTTGTGACCACATACATATTAAGGGTGTGATTTTAGAGCACTAACTTTTTCTGATTTTGTGGTTGAAGCTAGGATTCTGGATGCAGTAGTGTGAGGTATTATATGAAAGGCAAGTAGTTTGGTAATTTAAAGAGATATTTCTAATTGTGTGTTCAAAGGTATTTGGTGTGGATGTGGAGTTTTCCAGCTGATGGCTTCTACTTTTTTATTTCTATTAAATGTTACCTACCATAGAAAATAGACAAATGAGCACCTGACAGCTTATTTTATTCCTTGCCGTGTTTAAGTAAAAGCACTTGATAATTATTTTGTCTTATAAAATTTAAGAGCTTTCTTAAGACAATGGTTCTTTCCTCTTTAATTATGCTCTTCTGGTTGTCTAGGAAAATGTATTTATGCTGTACTGAGCTCAAAAGTGACAACAGGGTACTTGAGGCACTGTGCAAGTATGTTTCTTCACTGCATCCAGCTTCTTCTGCCTTGTCTGCATGAGTAAGTAAAACTGCAGTGAAATCCTTCCATGTGGGACCCAGAAGTTCCTGTAATGAAAACCAAATCTTAAATAGTTATCTCTTCTTGTTCCTTTTCCCCACTCCCATTTCTTATACTTAGTACATTAACAGACTGTTACATGGTTTTGGTTTTTTGGTTTTTTTTTTTCCTGGCAGTAATCCAGTTCATGCTATCTGAGTTGCTGAAATATCTGGGTTTTTTTCACCATTCCAAGACTTTGGCATTCACTTTTTGTGGAAATATGTGGTCATGCAGTACTAGCAGCTCTCTCTTCTCTAAGTACAGATGTTAATAGAATTTCTTCAGTTATAAAATGTTCATGTAAATAAGGAAAAATGGTTTTTTAGCTATGTCACACATTAGTTTTAAATCGGTAGTTGCCACATATCCATATTTCTATAAGTTTTACAGCTCTTTGAAAAATGTTTTATAAAATCACCTTTTGTTGAAAAAAATAAATGATGAATTTCTGTGTAACACCAACTGCAGTTCTAGCTGTGACCCAGCAATTCAGGAAAAACACAAATCAAATGCATCAACTTAAATAATGGGCAAGAGAGTTTGTCTTCAGCTTTGGTGGTTTATCTGATGGAGGCGAATGGAGAGAACAAGCTGCTTTTCTTTCAATGAGTACAGAAAATTTTACTACGAGTAAGAGATTGGGCTTTAATTTACAGATGTGAATGGAATTACAACTTCAGTGTGATCATGTTATCTCCTGTGTGATGAGAAGCCTAATTTGGTAATAAAGTCCATTTTGCAATTATCTTAATTAACTGTAACCTAAATACCAAGGTATGTAAAACTGCTCTAAAGGATATCTTTCTACGTCCAAGATAGGCAGGGTGTTAAAAAAGCCTGATGTTTTGATAAATTAATCTGTTTCAGACATCGAGGATGAAAAATATTACACACATCTACAAAATTGTCCCATAGGCTGCTTAAGGAAGTCTTAGATTATCAGTTTCAGAAAGAGGATAGTGCTTTGATTTGCTGAGGACTCAAAGTCAATTATAATGTTTGTTCTGAAATTGGTATCTACCACTTTCAATTCATTAGACTGTTATTGGGAAAAAAATTCCAGGCAAGTTTAAATTCTAGTAGTCTTTTACTGATATGCTGCCTTCATTCGTATGCCACCCCTAAGTTGCAGAGAATCATGGTAAAAGCTCTTGATTGCTAAAGGTGGTCTTCATGCTTGTGTCTCCATCAAATGGCACACTGAAATAAAATTGTTAATGTTCATATTCCCAGCACCCAGCCACCTTTCCTACCCTTTGTTTTTGTGGTTGATGAAATCATGGCAGGTTTTGCAGCAACCAACCACTGTAGAAGCTCAGTCTGTTTTGATCACAACACAGCAGAGCATAAGCAATCCAGGCTCCTGGAATGCATTAATGGTAACTTCCTTCTCTAAGTGATAGAGGAGCCAATGAGATGAGGACATAGTTATGCTGGACATTGTTTTCACCAACAAGGAAAGCTCATAAAGTTCAACAAGGGTCCTGCACATGGGGCAGGGCAAACCCAAGCACAATACAGGCTGGGTGGAGAATGGATTGAGAACAGCCCTGAGGAGGATGTGAGGGTTTTGGTGGATGAGAAGTTTGACATGACCCAGCAATGTGCACTTACTTCCAGTGCCTAAAGAAGGCCTAGAAGAAAGAAGAATAAACATATGTTGAAATTTGAACCAACTGTCAAACTACTGAAAAAGTGAGTAGCCTACCATAGAGAGGAGAGCAAATCAAACACATTTTGAAAGCTATATTTTCAGTTATATATTTACTTACCGGTGTGGTTTTATCTACGTATGTATTGTATATTTAGATAATATCAGTTACAGCAGATGAAAAAGACTTGATGGACTGAGAAGCCCCTTCTGGTCATAGATTTTTAGAAAATTCATTAGTATAAGACAGATGCAAGGTGTATTGTGCAGACTTTGACAATAACTGAAACCCTTTTTTTCTTAGTAAGTTAAATGAACCTGGTTCATTTGATCAGATAGGCAAATTAATATCTGCTGGCCTTTTTTTTTCTCTTCAAAGATATGTATGCGTCTCCCTACATACCTTAACTACTTGCAAAAAAAAAAAAAATTTATTTCAAGTCAGTTATGCTATTAATTTTCTTTAGCCTGAGTAAATTTATGGTAGCTCCCTAGTTATTTTCTCTTAAATAGATACAGCAGTAGTAACAGTCAGGACTGAGATGATCATCCTTGTCCCGGGTCAGATTTTCTGTATGATTTCGGACCTATTGTGCTTAGCTCTGGTGCTTTGGAGAGTGCAGTAACTGACTTTTGCTTGCTTTAAACAACATTTCTCTTGAGCAAGCTAGATATGTTATGATGAAGCATGAACTGTAATTCTGAGAGAACAGCTTACTTCGATAGGTAAATTTGGTTCCTAAATTCCTTTGTGCCAAGCCCACTTACAAAAGAGAGTTCTTGCCTCTCTTTTCTCAGGTTTATTGCAGTAAGTGTAGGTAACGGTGTCGGAGTTGGGAATGGTGTGTTTCAACTGCTGCATTGTGAAGTGTTCCAGTTTTCATCTGCACTTCTTTATTTTACCTTTGCAGTCAACTCTTCCATAGCTATTGTCCCCTGAAGAGAAAAGAGTTGCCATTAGGGCAGAGACTTCTATTTATTTTCTTTACCTGGATGAACTGAACTGCATCATTACTCTCATCCAGACACAGAGGCAAGTCAGCCCGCAGGACCAAGAGAGCCAGGTGCAGGCCTTCCTCCCCGAAGTGGTGAGCCAGGGCTGATCCCACCATGTCTCTCACCTGCTCCTTGCTCAGAGCACTGTGAGGGTAGCTCGGAGTGTCAAGTACTCGAACGCGGAGAGCCAGCTCGCAGCCATTTCTTCGCATAATCCCCAAAATGCGGCAGCTGCGTCCAAGGCTACAGCATGTAGTCACAGAACTTGGGGAGCGACGGCTCTCAAAGTCTGAGCTGCCCAGCAGGCTGTTCCCAGCAGCACTCTTGCCAGTCTGAGTTTTTCCAAGGACAACAAGGTTGATTGTCATCTCATTGGTGTCTGCCATTGTCTATGCTTTCTTTTATCCACAAACCTGTCACTAAATGAAGTACAAATAAGGTGTTTCAGATAACTTAACCCCAACAACCAACCAAAAAACTCCCACAAAAATTTCAAAATTCATTGCCTTTTGAGTGTTATTCTCTGCCTGAAATGTTTTCAGGATTGTGGTGTAGAATAACATTTAGTACAGGACATACACCTCTGTCTGATCAAGGGATGGATCTTCGCTGTCCTTCCCAGTCTGCTGCTGAGAAATAACAAGACCCTGTGAAAGGTGTCACAGGTAGAAAAGCAACCTAACAGACTTCACTCCTACACTGAGAGAAAGTGAAGAGCTAGGAAAGAATCTGATGTGAGAAGAGATTTAGGAAACAAGCGAAGCAGACAGAGCTAAGGAGAGGCAACAGAGAAGAGAGGAATTGGGAAACAACTGTGGAAAACCGTGTTGCCATGCAGGGAGAGTAATACGTTAGGAAAAGCAGGAAAACTAGGGGAGGAAGAAGAGAATGGTAACAAATAGGTGCTGCTGTTATTAAGTGACTACATTTCAGGATGTCAATATTTACTTGTTTTGCGGAACAAAATGGATAATCAGGGAGAAGTAGATTTTAAAGGAGCACTTCTTCAAAGCGGAGAACAGCTTTCATCAGAATATGTCTTTCATCAGCTACCACTGAAGTTGAAATAGACTAATCTGAAAGGGCTTTCTGACGCAGATAAATTTAAGTATGTCACTAAAAAAAGAGAAGAGCTGAAATAGCCAATGCTGCAGTTTCTAATCCCATATGAAAATGAGATTTTGAAAATGTATCCTACATAGACTTAATAACACAGTTAGTGGAAAATAAAAGCATAGACTGGTGGTGAAGAGTTTGCTGGGTATAATTTCCAGTTACTGTAATTGTTCATAAATAAGGCCGCTCATTCTCTTCGTACTTTTCTGTAATCCAGTATCTGAAGGGGGTTTGGTGTATATTGATCAACTAACAGGAATACTGACTATTTAAGTAAATTGAGACATGTTTCAGAAGGTAAAACCATAGTGGCACTTGGTAGTTCATTTTAAGTTTTCAGTGACATCTGAACTTCAGAAAGAATTTTTTAATTAAGATTCTATGTTTAGGCGTTCATAGAGAAATCATGGATAATTTTAGACTGGGATTTCCTGTGATTAATTCATTTAGATTCTTGCTGTGCAATTTAAACTTTCTCCCTCAAATTAAAGCCATGCCTAAATCAAACTTTTGAAATAAGTTCAGTACAATGCCAAACATGCAAGAGCTAGTAATATGCTAATTTTGTTACAGGCGACATTGAATACTGTACATGATAATCTTCCTTACTGAATTCACAGTGCAATTTTTGTGGATTTTTCAATGATCAATTTCCTTTTAAAAAAGACACCTTATGAAATGGTTTTCTTCAGTTATTAATCAGTTTAGATGTGCATTGTCTACTTTTCCTGTAACATAATAATATGACTTAGTGGACATGCATTTGTGCATTCCTTTTTTAAATCACAGTCAAATATTTATTCTTTTTTCCTGTAAGCAGCCTACCCTTAAATACTTAAATTTTCATATCATGTCACTTACCTTATTTTCACTTAAATTCTTCTTGCAATCAGTCTTCATTCATAAACCACATGTGCAGTGTAAAAAGAAGTCCATATATGAACTTTGGAACTAACAGCAGCAATGTACCACGCTGTGACTGTTACGGGCACATGAATCTGGTTAATCTATTACTAATAGATCCTCATTCAATTGGATATATTTGATCAGTAATTGGCACTGTTGAATTTTTGCAACTTAGCTTCAGATACCATTTTTGCAGTTACTTTAGTGATTGTATGATGATATTTTTGAAAGTTGCTTGAATTCCACCAGCATTTAAATGTGCAAGTGATAATGGAGGTGGTGGAATTACTTAGTATTGCATGTTCTGAATGTGAAGAGAGTATGCACTCTCTCTTATTATTGCAATGAATTAATAATAGCAATATTTTCATAGCACAAGGTAAATAATTTGCATACATAAAGATGTTTGCCTAACAAAGATGGATTAAAATAATAAGATACAGAAATTATTTGTGAATCAGGAAGAAAACTGAAGGCTTGCACAACTGCCAGTCATGTGCATTAGCTGTTGGCTGGATGGCCTAATACATTTCTCTTGCAAGCATTGTTATTTGCCATGCTATATTTGCCAGAGATAAAAAGATTGTCCAGAAAGGACCTATCACTTGCTTTTTAGACAATATCCCCCAAGTGGGTAAGTAACTGGTTAGAAAATAAATACAAATTTGTGCTTTAATGACCAGGTTCTAGTTAGAGAATGGAAGAGTGGATGAGCCCTTCCTGTCTGTTCACAAGGATAAGCCATCTCTCTGATTGTAAGTGCTGGGGGGTGGAGGCACGTGTTTACTCCAAGGGTATTAAGATATGTGTCATTACAGTGAGAACATGAATCTGGTATGTAGGTTGTCTGTGGTGGGAGGAAAAGAAGATCATGCTTCCCAGAGCCCAGTGCTGCTGGGGGCATTGTCATCCAAAGTGTAGCTCTGTGTGGGAGCCTGTGAGTATTGGTTTACCACAGTACCAGGGCTGTTCCTGCCTGCTACAGCAGTGAAGTGAGACTTCAGTTCCTCTAGAAGCCTGTTGCACAAGCAATGCTTTGGGAGAAGGTAGGAGCTAATGGTACCATCACAGCCTCCTCATGTAAATTCACATCATTCATCATGAATGAGTTCATCATTAGTTTACTTGGCTACAGATGGCTGTGTAAAAATTTTTTTGCTGTATGTTTTTAAGAGCACATAGACAAGTTGCTTTCAGACAGCTCTCTGATCTTGCACCTGCCTGTTCTGGTGATAGGTCAGACATTAAATCTTTTCTTGTATTGTATGTGTACCTGAGGCAACTACTGATAGTTTCCACTGTGAAAAACCTTACAGCTCTATGCTGTGCACAGCCTTTGTGTCTTAAGGTGCATTTATATATGAAGTGTATGGCTAGTGAATACAAACTCAAGACTGGATGACGGAAGATTCAATAGTGAAGCAAAAGGGTAGATCAGTCTCATAAAACTGTGAATATTGTGAGATAAAATCCAAATGCTTCCTTTAATTTGCCTATAAATCTTGACGTTGGTTAAATTGTCAGTCTAGCTCTGTACTTTTCATTGGATTGTTCCTATGCACAATTTTAGGGATAGGTACAATTTCAGAAGAATTTGTAACAGAAAGTTAGAACTCAGTTTCACTTAGGAAGACTGTAAAATGCCTTCTCAAATGGGTTAGATGGGAGTTTTTTCCTTCTTTTAGAGAAAGTTGCAGGGAGAAGCTGTGAGCAAGCTATTTCCCTGGTATGCAGAGAGATAACATGTTTGCAGACATGTACAAGGCTTCCTCAGGCCTGAGAGAATGGGGGAGGAGAGAGAGAAGATACAAAAAGCCTTGGAGAAGGCGGGACATTGCCTTTTTCCGCTGGGGGCCTGGTGTGTGCAGCATCATTAAGAAGTGGTCCTTGCATCTGAAATAAGCCTTTTTAAAATGCTTCCAGTGCCTTGGCATTCTTGGGAAGGATACCTTACAACAATAATGTCCCTCATGACATTTGAAGTGGTGTATGTCCTAGCAGTCATTTCAACTGAGCTAGCAGACTGCCAAGGAGATAATTTAAGTTGGCGTGGACAAGGATTCAGACTACCAAGAAAGCTAGAACCCCAGAAGCAGAGGAGTGTTGTATGCAAAATACAGCTTGCCCAGCTGGATGCAGAACTGGGGTTTTATGATGGTTAGATGGCTGTAAAATTAGGAGTAGTGTAAATGAGGCACTACTTAAATGAGACCTAAAACTTGGTTAAACAAACTTCACCACAAAAAAAAAAAAGCATTTCTTTCCAGTGTTATTATGTATGTAATACAGTCCGAGTTGGAATGTATCTGGAAGGTCTTGCAAGAGCACAGGCAGAGGATTTTAAAAAGTTGTCTTCCTGGGAGGATATGACAGGGGAAAAAAAAATCACACTGGTTTATATGGCACTTGCATAGGCTCCTCAAATGTGGAAAAAGTCCTCCCCAAGGTGGCAGTATCAGCCTGCTCCACAGGTACTGTAAAACTCAGCCGGGGTCCCTTTGCTCTGCAGTCCTATGCCGAAATAAAATACCAGGTCAGAAATGAGCTATGACATTAAAAAATACAGAATAATTACAGGACTCTTCAAACAGCTCCTGACATAAGAAATGTTAAAAATATTTGTCTCACTTTTGTCAAAAGAAATATTTTTATTTTACCTACAAAATGCGGACACCTTAATTAATGAATTACATTACAGCAGTAATGGAAACGTAGCAGTTAAGAAACAAAGTGTTATTTACTGTTCCTTGCATGATTCTTGTAAATCAAGACCTTTTGATTTCTCTAGCTTTTAAGTTGAGCCAGTGACAATTATTATGGGGCTTCAGATAAGAGATCTTAAAATCTACTTATTGTCAGAATATGAATTTGCAAAGAACAAGTACAGAGTACAACAAAATTCCCTTGGATGCTTTTTAGAACTGGTTGCTGCCAGTGGGTAAGCTATTTTTTTTGTTTGCTTTGTTTTTATATTACTTTATTTTTGAAATGGCAAAGAGAAAACCAAGACTGAGCCTGTTGTGGATTGGCAGACAGGAAGGATTCTTGTAACTGATAAAGGAAGCCTTATACTCTTTCCATGGAAATACCAAGCAAGTCTACAGAGGAATTGTCAAGAAACTGAGGAAGTAAGGTCCCTAATCTAATTGAAAATAAGCATCTTTTGTGTATCCAGCATCTTTATTTGTCTTCAAAAAAACAAGGCTAAAATCATTCGCAAGTAACCATTAGTTTTGTATCTGTCTACAGAATTAACTAGAGTTGCAATGCACTTTAGTCACAGTATTGTGTCAGCTGCTGTTCTATTGTAGTCCCTGTGATCACCCAGTTGGTTTGCACACACCCTAAACAAGCTCTCCATGATGGTTGTTAGGGTACACCAAGCAGGCTAGATCTTGTAAAACTGAAATAGCCGAGTTTCTCTTTAGGCACATGGTATCTCTTACCATGTGTCATCTTTTGGTTCCCACGCCTTCCCATCCCTTACAGCTTCTTTCCTGATGTGGGCTCTCATTTTAGCCCAAGATGATGCCATAATAAGTAATTTAAGATGTGCTTTGATGAATTTCTCTTACTTAGAGAAAACCCAGTGAGACCATTTTATGGATTGCCACACACAGAGGCAGGCTCTTAGCTTGCCCAAACAACATGAGAAATGCAGGAAGGTATGCAGTCCATGTAGTCAGTGTGGCTTCAGTTCTGTTAGATGTGTAATTTCTAAGAAACAGCAGGCACGTCACTGCTGAGAGAGAAATAAGACAGATCTAGCGATGTTCTACTCCTTTTGGACTGCATTCACACCAAAGCTTTCTGTGCTGATTCTAAAGGATGACACATGTAAAGTATACTAAAATTTCCTTAAAACAGATTATTTTTTTTAGCTTTGCTTAATGCAGTCTCAGTATCTGTGGTAATTTTGAACATAAGTAATCAATTATCAACAGTCTGCAAGATTATGTTTCTTTTTGCAGTATAGGTGGCTGTGTAGGTTATGTGCTACTACATTGGCATTGCTAAGGGGAAAGGAAGTGGGGTGTAGCTGCAGACTAAGGCTGCCATTGCACCAGCTTTTGGCCAATGTCTGTTTGTACAACTGTGGAATCAGCCCCTCAGGTTCCTACTGTACTTCTTACAGCAGATTATGGGTTCAGGGCAAATACTGCTGCAGAAAGGCAGATCAAGGACCCACTTTGTATTTGAGAAGAAATCAAAGAGAACTGAAATCTGAAGAGTGACAATATCAGTCAGACTTTTTTTCCTCTCTATTCTCCAAAGGAATCACCAAGAGCCACAAGATATCCTTGTCCTTCATCCTCTACAAATAATAGGCAACCTCAGGTTAGAAAGCAGTATCTTTGACATTCTGATCTGGTAGGTCTCTGCTGTGAAAGTAGTGTGTGTCTTCAGTTGGCAGGAGTGATATTCTTCTAAGCACTCTGCTTCTCTGTGCACTTAAAACAGCATTGTAGTAAGCCACAGGAACACAATCTCTTCTTGTTTCCTGTTAGTATGGTTCGGTGTGACATGGCTTTCCAAAATGCTGGAGGATGCATTGTAAAGTAGGGCATATCACTTTCTGTTGCAGGCTGCCAGTTTCTTAAATCTCCTACTAGTCCCCTTCTCCAATTTAACTGATGATTTTCCCCATGGCACCGTATCAATTTTTTTTTAATATACAAGGAATGTTTTTAACATACCATATTGTGCTACGTTGTCTCTTGAGCAGATTACTGAGAGATATTTAAACTACCTTGTTTTCACCCATGCTGTCATGATATGTTTTCTCTAGTATAAAGTTGGATGTTAGTCAGAAGTGTACAGGTCTGGCTATAGGGCTGTGCCGCGAGGCTGACATGTTTGTGTCTGTTCACTGCTTCGTGTGAAATACGCAAAATATCCAAAGAAATAAAGATGATATTGCAAGTAAGATTACAGGTATGTAAATAATATTTTTAAAACAACAACAAAAAATCAGAAACTGTTGATTTCAAAGGCATATATTTGGGAAAGAAACAATAATCAGAAAGGATGAAAATACAGACTTAAGGAAGAATCCTTTTTCCCTTACACATAGTTAGATGAACTCTGTGACTGGCCTCATACATCTTCTGTTGAGACAACCTGAGTCATATTCATTCACTTTCTTATGCTTAGCCTCAAAATTGTCCATGTGTGTAAAAACATTTTGCCCCTGGGACAAAAGTCCTGTGAATGGTGAACATATTTGGAAGCTCAGGAAACCCAGACTTGGCTGCTATTTCTATAACACTCATTCCCTAATTCTGAGAAGCTGCACAGTTTCTCAGTTTCCTCATCTGAATAATACAGGGAGTATTCAATTCTTTTGAAGATGTGTAGTGGGAGTGCTTTAGCTGAAGGGAATGGATTTCTCTA